TGAAAAGTTTTTTATTTGTGTGTAATATTATTTTATAGAAAATTGTGTAGATAAAAGTAGGATAGAGAAAAATTTAAATTAAATTGAAGAGTTTTAAAGGTGGCCAAACATGGGCTTATTCTAGTTTGTAGTAGTAGAAATCCTAATACAATAAGAAGACTTTTATGCCAAGGAGATTAGATAAGACTCTTTATTTTTAATGAACATATTCTATCATTTGGAAGGTATCTATAAATTTAGAGAATTGAAATTTCGAAGTACTCCAACAAATTTTTTTATTTTTAACACTTAACTTTACGACTCTCAAAAATATTTATCATTTTTCTTTATTTTTTTTAACAAGTTTTTCTTTAGATTATTTTATTATTTTTCTATATCACTTTGAATGCATCTAAATTAAAATATTAATTTAAAAAGTTTGTTGGAGCTTGATTTTAAGGATTAATTTTTTAAAATATAAAACATTTCATATTTAAAGAGTATGTTGAAAATACTCTTAGTTGTGTAGGAGGACTCTGGGATTGGTTCCCAACAAGAGGGAGCGAGCAAGGCAATGGGACATCACCTCTTAGAGTGATATTTCATGGGTGGATCTTTGATCGTAGATTGAGCTAGATCTACAGAAATTTTTTCATAGAAGTGCTCCAGAATTCTCACAACAATGGTGGTTGGGTGAATTTTTTGCCAATTTTTTATCACCACATGGGGGCCACTCATATGAGTTCTCTAGCAAAATTTTTGTACAAGGGGCTTTAGCCCTTTGACCATGGTGCTGGTCATGATGTACTGCACGATGTCATATCCTTAGCCTAAACAAGTAGGGTCAGGTGGAAATATCCGATCAATAGGTCGGGTGGTGACCATCCCAATCTTGGATCGATGGTCAGGTACACTTGTTCGGGGAGAACACAACTTTATCGGTTCACCTAGTGCTGCTGGAAATCTAATATGGTTATATTTGTTATTCAATCAGCTATGTCTTGCTACGTAAATTCACAATTCAAAATAACTTGTACTTTTTACTAGAAATATTTATTTTGATATGACGAACTATAAGGTGCTAAAATGTATCAATTATATTTTTTAGACCTACTAAATTCAAGAAACGTGGATTGCAAATAGGTTAAAATAAAAATAAGCAGATAAAAGTAGGACAGCGAATAGCAATTCCACTTAACTGTAATATAAGTACAACAAGTGCATTATTATATTCCCATTAATTATACACATAATTTCCTTGGATGAAGGCTTCAATATTAAAATAAATGGATTCCTTTCACATATTCACTACATGAAGATTTGGAAGTAATAAGGTACGATAATCCCAATTAATTTTCTTAATCTCCTAGCACCTTAAATTGGATTTGTCGAAAATGAGGAAGAAATCATATTACACAGTTAATTAAAATTTGGTGGGTTACACTAAATTAATTTTTATGATTAGGTGATGTCGAGGCAGAATGAAGTTATACGGCAGATATGAAATATTGATCACAATAACAAGAGCACAAGAAATAAGAATTTAATTTGACAAAAGAATTGGAAATTTTATTCAACTATAATAGAGAAAGAAAATTACAACAATATTGTGTATCCTACAATAATTAGAATCTAAGTAATAATGAGGGAAAATCGTACTCTAACTATGAAGAGACGCCAAACTATATAAAAAAAGTAGATGTCAAATCCTAATCATAGCTCTAAAAATGAAAACTAAGTCAAAATGCTTGGAATAAAAAAGAAAAACTCGGAATGACACTGCGCTCAAGGGCCTAGCAAGCAACAACTTGCTGCAGCAAATTTCGTCTCATCGCTCAAGCATCCAGCTAGCGCCGCTAATTTGGTTTTTCCTCTATGAATCTTATTTAGACATCTTCAAGGTTGAATACACACAAATTGCACAGACCCTGGATGAATTTGACTCGCAACAAACCCAACAGGTGACATCATTGCTTATGTAATAACACTTATGGATTCGTGATAATGCTTAAGATGAAGCTCGAATTCTTTTTCACAATTTGGTTTATTTTGGACTCATGGATCAACTCATATTTTAGCTTATTTTATTAATTTTTTTAAAAAACGAGTCGGTTTGTTAGTTTGTAGACAGTTCAACTCGACCAATGAGACCTACGAACCAAAGAGTCGAGCTGCGTCTAGTTTTATGAACATGAATTGAGCTCGGGTATCTAAAAACCTCGACTCAACTCAACTTGGTCCCTCGATAAGGATGAAATTGATCAACGATCAACGGGAGGATGGAATCACATAGAACTTATTTGGTATGTTAAATTAGAAAATATTTAAAAAGAAAGATATCTAATTAAACTTTTATTTATTATACATATTCATATCTTCTGTTACAAGGTCGTATTGCTATGCCGCAGGGTAAAAACTCTTTCATTCTATCCTAAAAATCAATGTTTAAGGAATGCCACATCACCATAATTTGTCTCAAGTGAGGACCTCTTCCATCCATCATCCCTCAATCCAAAATCACACTCGAAGAATAGCGGCTGCAGGTTCTCCCGTCATAAAAAAATAATAAAAAATCACACGCTCTATCAAAATCCACAATATATCCACCACATTGGCCCATGTTACAGTATACGATACTCCCTAACTCCACAAGAATTAACCTAGGTGTAGCATGGACCTCCTTTGGGTCCTATATAGCCCTTTGAAGGGTCGAGCCTTTATTGTCGTAAGGCTTACAACTAGGCTTGGACATCGAGTGGATCGGTCAAAATATTTGAATATCCAGAACTATCCATTATACTTTAAATATTTCATAAATAGAATCATTCAGGTCCTTATAATTATTATAATCAAATCCAAACTCAAACCCTCGATTCCAATTTGAGTTTGGTTCCATCCATAACATTTTTATATAAATAAATATTTCCTTATGGGCCCTTTTGATACACACATGGGCGGACCCAACGGGGGTCTTGGGGGGTTACTTGACCCCCCAACTTTTGAGATTTTCCTTTTTTCATTTTTTTTTTTTGGGTAGAGTCTTGTTTGGTATCGATTGAAATTTTAATTTTAATCTAAATTAAAGTTATCAATTAGTTTTAATAACATATTTCATGGATTCCTTAACTTTTAAAATTTTAGTAAAAATCGAACTTTGATCCCCATCAACCAGAGGCAAAATCACAATAAATTTGAATTTTCTCTCTTTTTCATTGCTCTATCGTATTTTTTCCCTCACGCCTTTTACCAAATTTTTAACCCTTCTAATTTTTTAAAATTTATTTATAATTTTTTTACAATTATCACATCTACTACAAATTTTAACTTTTCAATCAAAATTTCAACTAATTAGAACCTAAATTTGCATTTTCTCATTTACTATTTGTGTATATAACACGTGTCTAAATTGATTATATAAAATTTAACTTATATTTAACGAATTGTATTTGTTTGATTGATTATTAATATTTCGATTACTTAAATTGATTGTTTGAATCAAATACACAATTTTATACATTTTCTTGTGATGAGCAAAATATTAATAAAATGTTTGTTCAAAATCAAATATGTGAAATTGATGAGCAAAAATTAATAAAAAAATATTTTTCTAATGTAAATCTGCATTTTTTGAGTCAAATATAAATCATTCAAAAATTAAGAACAAAATATTCGATTTGTACAAAGTTTGATTGTGCCACCTAATTCAAATTCTCTGCATCCGTCCCTAGATACACATATCTAACACGTTTACTATTCGACAACACTTGTGCAATGGAGAAAATTAGCTAAAAATCTTCAAGAAGCTAAGAAATGCAATATGACTAAAAAACAGTGGAGAATAAAAACCACGAAAACAGGAAAAAGTTAAAACATAAAAAAATAAATTGCAGTCTCAGAAGAATTTTTTTTATTAATAAATTTTATTCGATCCATAAATGAGTCATGTTAGAGTCTATAATTTAATTATGGACGATACGTAAATTCTTTTGCTTTTAAAACGAGCTAACATAAAAAATACTAATAAGATACATACTTATATTAGTTTCAAGAAATGGCAGTCCACGTATTGAACTTGCTTTGTTTAAGTAAAAAGGAAAAATTATATTTTAAAAAAAATAAAAAAATCACGAACTCGAGATAACAAAAAAGATATACCATAGCCCAATCTATGAATACATCAAGTTCAATTGTCACGCGTTATAAAAAATTTCAAGAATTGCTTAAATTTGTAAACAACGTGAGAATATAAAAAACTTGAATTGCAAAGAATGAACACTTTATTTATCAACTTAGCCTGAACTTCTTAATTCGTAAAGAGCATAAATTGTAAAGATTAAAACGTACTAACCTTTGAAATACAACAATCTAGTGTAAGACGAGAAATAACAAAGTAGGAATTAGTCATGATTTCTGAGGGTTAGGATCAAGATTTTTAGACAAATTACTACCCAAATTAGGATTTTAGGTTCTATATATATTTTTATCCAATCTATAAATGGTAAACAATTTCTTTTTTATTATTTTGAAAAATTATATAAACATTTTTTATATGCAGCCTGCTGCATTCATAATGCAACAGGATCCATTTTTTATTATAAGTAAACCCTAGTTATTTTTCAGATAAATTGCATAATTCATCAATCTTTGACAAACTTGCAGCGTACCTATCCTAATTTTAAATTAGTCTTATTTCTGTTCAAGCTTTTAGAAATTATTAGAATACCCGATCCTTACAATAGTTTCGATTAACATAAACAAACGAAAAGAAAATAAAGATACAAAAATAATAATTAAAAATAAGCAACCCAACAAAAAAAGAAAAATAATATTTGAATTTTTTTTTTTTTTGTTTATTTTGTGCAAATCTCCAACAGTTGAATAATATAAACGATCTTAAATTGAAGGAATATAAACATTAATCTCGACAATTGGTCGAGGTTATATTTTGAATAAAAACAAAGAAAGACAAGCAGATAAACAGGCAAAAATGGAGAAGCACAACAAACCAAAAACTCATCACATAAGTAAACAACCAAAATTGGATTGCGAAAATGCGAAGTGCTAGCAAACAACGGTTCGTGAATAAGATAACATGTAAAATCCTTTGACATTCCTGAACTAAAATTTCTCAAACTAGCCATAAACTACGACGCCAAATTATAAAGAAGGGATCGTCCGAGAACTTAATTGAAGAAACGTTATTGCTGTAATTCCCCTCAAATATGATCGCCTTAATGTCTTAAAATCCAGAAAAAAACAGGAGAAAACAAACAAATGATAACAAAACAGGTTCTAGGAGACTTCAAACAAAGATAAATCACTGGGAGACGCCCAACCACTTTGAGAAGTTCTCAAATTCGGTGTAATCGCTATCTGAGATCATAGTCTTGTACCATGTCTTACTTGCAGACTTAATTGCAGAAGCCTCCTCCTGCAGAAGATAGCAAACAGAAAACAATGAAGGCAAGATGTAAGATGATTTTGAGATACAAGTAAAACATGAACTGGGTATCATACTGTGTGAGGCAAAGGTCCACAGAGCTTAGTTATAGTAGTTTCTTAATTACTAGAGTACAAAGCCACACAAGTCACAGCAATACAAGAAGAAAAAACAAAATCTATATGATTGTATGCCGAATTTATTCAAAGTTTAATTCCAAATTTCATATGCAGATATTGGAATTTAGGAGTGTTAAGTGAAAGTACAGAAAGCATCTTACCAATTCTAAAAGAAAATGAAAATCAATAGTGAAACATCACAATCTCCTCTCGATCAACATTAACATTCAATATAGGCAATTCAATTTGTATTAGGTACTATCTTCATTCACAATCTTCAGATATATCTTCATTCAAGCATAATTAGACCTTTTTATACTGATTCATTTTTATACATTTGTTTTCTTATTCATCCACATCAGAAATGTTTCCTTAGTAGCCGCGGCATTTTAATCATTTAGGATAAGAAAAACTTCAAAATCAACTTTCTAAAACTATATTGACATATTTACAGTGGGAAAAGATATAATCAGAGATCGTGTACCTAATAGAAATTATGCATTGCAGCAGAAATAATTAGGAGAATAAAATCAGAATTAAAATGTTCAATCAAGCACAATCGACATACTAGTCAATAACATCCATAATCAAATAAAAAGTGAAGACAGCAGTACCTTAGTGATTTGCTTCCTCTTCTTTTCAAGCTTCTCCTGCTTAGCCTTCACGCGCTGAGCCTCAGCCAACAGAGCCATCCTCCTTGCAGCTTTAGCATATGGGTTAAGCTTCAGCATCACATTCAGATTCTTCAGCGGGTTCTTCTTCAATGGAGCCCTCTTGATCTCCTTCTTGATCGGTTTTACCACAGACTGCACCTCATCAGAGTTAATGATCCTAGCCAAATCAGCATTTACCATCTTCGCCCTAGGCAAGACATAACCATTCTTCTTCTCAGATGGTTTATCGAATTTTCCGTAAATCTCGTCCAATTTCTCAAAAGCAGATTTGGTCCAGACTATGAACCTCCCAAGATGACCTCCAGGAGCCAGTTTGAGAAGATTGAGTCGTGACACATGAGCTACCTCAACACCAGTAATATTACGGAATGCCTTCACGAGCTTTGCACCCTCAGTACCGTAAACAACCAGAGGGCCTTTCCTAGAAATGTAGCGGCGGTTGCGCATTTTACCCTTTCCAGGGCGAATACCAAGACTATCCTTAGCCTTCTCAGTATCAGTATAAGCTCCAATTTGCTTAAGGATTTTAATAGCAGCATTTGTCTTCTCCAGAGCCTCAACTGAATCAGAAACAACAAGAGGCAACTCAGGAACCTCCTCAATCCTATGCCCACGAGCAAGTACCAGTGAAGGCACAGCAGATGCGGCAATGGCAGAAACCACAGCATGACGTTTCTGTGTAACATTCACTGCCCGATGCCAGCGGCGCCAGATCTTGGTAGGAGCAAACATGCGACCACCACGGCACATGTTTCCAAAGGCCCCCTGTCCGGCACGGTGAGTACCACCACCAGGAACACGGGGGATACGCGACACAGCACGACCAGTACCCCATGACTCAGCAGAGGTCTGGTGGCCAGCGCGCTTGGACACGGCGTAAGGCTGACGGGCATTCTTGGAGATCTGACCGTGAACAAATGTCACGATATCCGGGCGGATCGATGCCTTCATCACATCAGGAAGGGGCAAGGAGGCTCCATCAGTGGCCATATCATTCTCTAGGGCTTGTACGGTGACAAGGGGGCGGGCGGCGGCGGCCATTTGTGTGTTGGGGGGAAGGGAGAGGGGTATACGGGCAATGCGTATTTGGTGCGCGATAATGGAAAAAATAGGGTTTCGGTTGAGTTCTCGTTTCATATATAAGGAGAACAGGAAATGAGGGTTTAGCAGCCCTTTTAAGAAAATGGGCCTCTATTTGGGTTTTAATGGGCCTCCAGAGAAAGGAAATTTTTTGGCAATAGTACATAAATACAATAATATAAATATACAAATTCAAATTTAACAATACATTGTAAGGACTTTGGTTGCAAATTCTCTATGAGAGGTATTTTGGGAAAGATTATTATTCAAAAGCTATTCTTTAAATAATTATTTTTTCAGGTCCAATCTTAAGATTCACCCTTATATTTAGGCTATCTACAGGTATTTCCTCGAAGATTGAGGCAGAGACGAGAGGAGAAGAAAAATTTAGGGATAATATATTTGATTTTTTGGAATTTTTCTTTTGGTTAACGTTTCGCAACGTCCAACAACATTCACTACTTGAATGTTGCCTTTTGCATGTTGCAAAATGTTATTTTCGTTGTAGTGAAAGTAGTTTGACAATGTGAGGAGAAATTATCGATGGGAATTTCATGATAGGAAGCAGGAGGCATGAACGAAAAACCACACGTCCTCGGATGTTATCAATTAATGTCATTAATTATAATAGAGTTACTTATAGTGGCAACATAACTTCGCTCCAGCTACTAGCATCAAGCATCAGACATTTTTACATGCATCTACGTATTTGCGATGCAGAGTGTGACGGTATATTCACTGTTTCTGAAAGTTTGCTCAACACTAGCCATTTTAGATCCCGCAATAATTAGCACAATATAGAAATGAGGTCGACGCATAAAAAAAAATCATATGGTACATCCTATAACAGCAAATAATTTAGGTATAAATAATCCCCCAAAAATACTCTCTATCAAAGGTATGAACGTCGTCACAAAAGTATCTTAACAATCGAATACAGCAAACGAGTGAAGTTATATATACCTGTAAAAATGCAGAGACTGAAAAGGCAAGAGAATCATAAGAACACAGGCGTTGGTGGGCAATTAAAGGAGAAATAACATTACAAAATAGAGGAACTCTTTGGGGGCTAGGTATTGTCTCATCAAGATTCACCATGATTGCTCTTAACTTAGTCCAACTGAAAAGTGAAGCATGACAAAGAATCTATATCAAACGAAACTTATCCACTCAACGAGTCAATTCGATAGGCCCCTGGCCAGCATAAGTTTAATGCAGTATAAAAAGTCCGTGCAACAGGGTGGTGTGCCTATTCCGACACGGGTTTGCTATTATTGCGTTCTATTTTTGAGGGAATGATCGAAATTAAGACATGTGGCGAGTGTTTTTCTTCTTTTTCTTTTTAACTCTTTTCTTGAGTTTCAAATATAAGTGAACTTTGACATATGTATCATCAGTATTGCTTAGCACCAACTTATGTGGCAATGATTCAATGACTCGTATACAAATGTTAAATAGCATTGCATTGAAAAAGTTAACCATTTCTAAAGATCCACAACTACCTACCCTAATTGAAAGTTCGAAAATTCACATAATAAAAAAAAATAATAAAAAAATGAATAGAGACTAAAGTGATGTGCTCGATAAAGTTTGAAGATCCCAAAATGAAATTCTCCACAGTCGAATTATAGGAAATTTTTGAATGGATTTTTAGCAATTCATAGTTGATAGTGATGATCATAGGCTACATGGTATTGAGCTCCTTTATTCATCGTTCGATTCACTAAAAAGTAACACAATTTTCAAGTGATTATTTACCACATAAATCGGTGATTATCACGTATAGCATTACTCCTATTTTATATAAAACCTTTTACTTTTTAATATTTTTTTATAGAGATATATTACTTTTTTTAAATAAAAAGTTACGCGTCCTCATAATTAAGTAAAAGTTAATTTCAAAAATAATAAGTAAATTAGTTCACAGAAGTGATTATCTAACAGTATGCAACCGGTAAATGGTGAATACTTCGATGTAATGGCAAGAAATTCAGCATAAAATGAGGAAATAGCAAGCACTAAACGCGTTCAATTCATTATTTTATTATTATTTTTAATCGAGACAAATAGACGCAAAAATCCTCAAAGTTCATAGACAACCCATTCAAACAAAGAAAACGCCCATCCCCTTAAGACTGCTAAACAATTATGTCCAAGACTCGACTTCAATAACTAGTGAAAATTGGCTAAAATCTATAACTAAGTCGCACCGACTACCGACTAAAAAGATCGAAATGATTGTCGACTCGTCTGAGAGATATACTAAGGATGCAGTCAGTTGACAACAGGAGCCACTACTATTCTCCTCCGAGAGTAACTCTAGCAGGGGATCACAGTTGAGAATACACATAAACAGCAAGTGTCTTGAGTAAGAAATGGGTTTAAAGAGTATAATCTGCCTTTTCAGATCACAGATCACCTGGTTCTTTGATTTGTAATGTTGTTTTTGACAGGCTAGCTTCCAGTTCATTTAGCTCATCCATATCGAGATCGTCGTCATCTTCATCAGCAACATCTTCGATATCACGTGTATTTGTTGTGGAAGAACTTGGCCCGTCCATGGAGGAACCTTTATCATCCTGAAATTGATGATACAGAAGTCAGCAAATACTACTGAAATGGCTCCAAGCAATAACCGAATAGCAGGGCTAGTTATAGAGTTAAGACTACGTAAGAAAAACATCAACTTTGCTCAATCACGAGCCATAAAAATGAACCAACAATTTGAACCTGAAAAATGTAAAAATTGCTTAAATAGTCACAAAAGGATGGAAACACGCTGAAATAGGATAAATCTTTTTGTTTTCTGGATTCAGTCATGATACAGAATGTGACCTCCATAGAAGAAAAAAAGAAAAAAGGAGTAAACCGACACCATAAATTAGATGTAATTGGCCATAACATGGTTTCTTCAACTCTATCTGTGAAAGAAAGTTTTGACTTCATATTTAAGATGGATTTTACCAAGTCTTCAGACACTCAAATTTCGGGTGGAACAAAAAGTTCTACGTTAAAGCAAATGTCAGTTTAAGAGCCTTCCAAGGAAGAAATAACAGAAATGAATTTATCGGGCACCATATGAATGATAATTCTGACCACATGTTTCACCACTGGTAAGGTGTAGAGAATGAAACGCCAACATAGTTCCAAGTCTATTTGGAGCATTGAACTAATTCTAATTTTAGAACAAGATCCAAATGTAAGAATAGTGCAAGACTGCAAGCCGGTAATGATCTTTCATCAAAGAGACAACTCTCTGTCCATGCTTTTTTGCCTCATGGAAACAAAGGAATTAACCACGACATAATCCAAGGCAGTATGCATCAGCGTTTCACTGAAATATACTTGCTGCTTTGGTGCTTCAGTCAATCATGCACGAACCATAGAATTAGAATTTTTATTACCAAACTTTAGTAACTATTTCATGATGAGCAGTAGGATTGAAGTTTGTTTCCTTAGTCTCATAGCTGTTTTCAAGAGAATACAACTAAGAGCATTATGAAACTCGGAGGAAATTTGTTGTGAACTATTAGATTGGATTCTCTTGGAGACAAATACGAGACTAAGGGGAAAAAAGTTCTCCGTGTTACTTATCGTGGACTGGAGAACAGAAGTTTGATAATAGAAACATCTAATTCTATGGGTGAAGCATCATGAACTGAAGTGCTAAATCATGCTGTAAATTTCAGCAAAATGATGATGCATACTACATGTACTCTATCTTGGCTGATGACTTCGTTTACATTGGGCAAAGAAGCACGTATGAAGTTGGAAAACCTGCAAAGAGTTCTCTCCACAATGAAAGAGAATTGGATCCGAATGTTGCCCCCTTCAAAAATAAATGCTTAGAATGCCATCAACAATTAAACAATATTCATCGAACTTTGGGAATTACTATCAACATTATTTTCAATGTCAAATGCCACGCCATCCAGTACATGAACCTGCCCCTCCCCAATAAACCCCCCCCCCCCCCCCAAACCCCCCCCCCCCCCCCCCGGGGCACGGGGGCAGAGGCACCTCCAAGGTTTTGGGTGTAGATGCTACAGGTTTCTTCCTTTTTTGTCTTTATTATCAACTTTTGCCAGGTTCTTCAAGCAGGCTGGCCTTTTCAAACTTGAAATGAGCTACTCGAGTTCCAAGATTTTCGTTACTAACATTTCCCCACTACCATAAAGATACTAAGAAATTAAAGCAATCAAAATTTTAGCATACTCGCCAATCACAGAATTTTAAGGACCAAAGAAGTTCATTAAGTCTCCAAGTAATATTAGATGGAACATAGCAAGGCAAATACCAAAATGATCACCTTTTGCTCTGCATCTGGTTCTTCTTCTCTTCGGTATTTGTCATAGGCCTCAGCATCATCAACAAACAAGCTAGCATCTGACAAAAATAGCTCACGCCCACTGGGACAGGAAACAAAATAAAGTGAATACGTCATGCAATACGGACATACAAGCAAATATATCCAATATGGGTGTTCACTCAAGAAGAGTTGAACAGTACCTCATACAGTCATTCTTAGCTCTCTCTGCCCGCTGTGCAGCCAACCCGGCTTCTCGCTCTTCCACCTTTTTCTTCTTCCATTGCATGAATAGCTCCGGAGTCATAGGAGTTGTAGCAGTTATCTTTGCACGCTGAAAATGGAATAAATTATAATAAACCTATTAGCAAACAAATTTAATATGAATGAATTCACATAATTCTAATAGACAAGTAATAGGAGAATGTTCGAAACTAACCTGGTTTTCTATCTCTTCCTCTATGGGTATCTTGTCAGCTTCCTCCTCTATCAGAGCCTTCATCTGAGATTTTAGAACATATCCAGGAGGGAGTGCGTGCCTGTAATGGCAGTCTTTACCACCATTTGGGCAGACCCAAAACCAACCATACTGTTTTTTCTCCACTGCTTCCAAAAAGTATTTACATACCTGCAAAAAATATTAGTAGAAACAAAAAGAAATAGATTGGTTGAAGTACCAAAACATGATATACGAACAGACAGAAGTACAGACAAAAGGAAAATTTAAAAAAGAAAATTAGAGCATGTGCAAATCCATACAATTGATGCCACCTGGAACGAGAATACAAGAATTCAATCCTTTCATGTAGTTTTCCCTTCTTTATGACCTTTCATTTCATCCCAAAATGCGGAACATAGCTCCTCGTTAGCATATGTATCATTGCTATAGCAAATACAGGGGGTACTCCGTCATTGTATCAAGATCTGCTCGAGTCAGTTGAAAGCCAATTCGATTACTGGTCATGCTCTAATTCCTATCAAATCCATGCTCTCTCTTTGTTAAATACATGTATAATACGAACTCCTAAAATTTTACACCGGTTTGCTACGTTGTGTATTAAGATGCTCCAAAGTCAAATGACATTCACTAAGAACTTGGGGCCTGCTCTTACACGCCCCCAAACTCTTAACTTTTTCCTATGTACAGCATCCGTCGACCACATTCTGAATTGGTACATCATATTTCCCTTCCATTCTTCATTATCTTACTAGTTAGATTAGGGCAACAAGATATAAGCAAAACAGAATTAGAAAATGGAACCTGGCCATCTCTTTAAATTAGAAGTACTCTTCCAACACGTCTCTATCTTGTGCAAAAGAAATTTCTAAATTTACGACTACCAACCAGTTAATACTCTCTCCGTCCCATTTACATAGACTGACTTTCCTTATTTTCTTATCCCAATTATACAGTTTTGTTTCTTTATTGAGAATGTTTTGTTTTGTCATGTCATTTACTAAAATACCCTTATTTAATTGCATAATTATAACCAATTTTTCCCGCTTATTCTTGAAATTGTACAATTATAAATAAGGATAAATTAGAAAGTTTGTGGCAAAAATTGTTTTCTCAATAACATTAAATAAGATTTCTTAATCATTGTGAAAAACAAAATCAGCCTATCTAAATGGGACGGGAGAAGTAGTATCTTTAAAATTCATTCAGATTGGTTAAAATCATAAAGAAAAAGGAAGACAGAGATATCAATGGTAGTTAACGACAGCAAATGATTGGCTACGGAAAAAAAAAATACAGTTACAGAATTATATCACAATCCTGAGATGAATGAAAAACATAATGAAATCATTAATGAAGACTTACTCTATCGGTAAGCTTATTCTTGTTGTACTCCTGACCCTTGGACTGAACAACCTTCTCCAACATTTCTTGATCCCAGTCCTCCATTGTTTCCGTTTCTTTCTCTTTATGAAACCAATAAACGAGATTCACAGACACAAATCAAAATTATGGGAGAAAAAAAAAATTGTAACCAAATTGGAGATTTGATGATAGAATTTGAACTTCCACTATTAACCTTCATTGCGCTTATCACTACAAATATCGATCTTCTCTCCTTTCCTTTGAACATTCAAATCGTGAGAGCACTTGCACTTAAAACCTTTGGCACATTGACCAGTCTTGTAGAACTCGCACAATATTGACTTCGGATCAACACCTAGATAAGTCAAATGTTGATTCTCAAAAATTTAGACACCAACATTTCAGATAGACAAAATAACGATATAATCACAAATTTTCAATCCTGAAGTTCTAGAATCCAATATTTCCAACTAGTCCCTTGGGGAAACAATAAATTAAAAAAGAAGGGCGGAAAGCTATAACCAGCATTCACAATATACATGCTTATCTGAGCACCACGGAGCTTATATAACACTGCCCACTTTTTAATTGAACAGGAGGAGATTCTACAGGAAAAACTAATTAGAGAAATTACCAGGAGGAACTTTGGGCTGACTCACTGCAACTTTAAACAATTCATTGAGCTCCTTCTCTTTTGCCTTCTCCTCCTCTTTCTTTTTCTATTAATTTCCCACACGAAAAAAAAAAGCAATCAATCGATGAACAGTCAAATGTAATCCCGGTATACATAATCAATGAATGTAATTCGACCTTGGCGTCGATTTTGCTGAGTTCAGGCCTGGGCTGGACGGATTGTTTGAGGGATTGAACGTATTTCTGAACATTCTTGGACTTGTTCTTGTTCTTCAATCCGAAAGTCTTGTCCTCGACTATCTTCTGCTTCTTCGCCAAATCCACTTTCGATTGCTGCTTCGGAGGCTTTTTTTTCTCTAATATTCTCGATGATTCTTAATCAAATAATTTATTGACAAATTATTAATAAATTGATAGCTTAAACTTGATGGATTTGAATTTCGCGGTTTCTAATTGATTGAGCGTTGGAAATTATTGTGCAGACGGAACAGTGCTGGTTTGGGTGAAGGGCATGTCACTGTACGGTTCGAAACCGCTGTTAAATTGCGAAAATCCTTAAGCGCGTCTAAGTTTAAAAACGTTAAAGTTGGCAGTAACGATTCTAATTATCAACTTTCATCTCTTAACAAAATTGATCTCTAACCTTTCAATTATTGACATGTATAATCTCTAATTAACAAACTGTTCAAAAAGGAGCCCCTTATGCCATCAAAGAAGACAAGAATATTATATATAGCCCCTATTTGTTTTCTATTATTTGCTCATTAAAATGAAAAATATGATCGTTATCTATCACATTAAGTCATCATATTTGATTTTCTATCTCTTGTGGAGGACCCCTAACAACTATATTTTTCATTCTTATTTTTACATTAATGTGTACTAGATAGTGCCATAGTCAGAGTTTAAAGAATTAATTGTTTTGGATACTAAACGAACTTTCATCATTGTCATGTTTTACTCGCTAGACTTAAAATTGCACTTAAACACTTACTGAACTTTTAGAACTTGCACTCCATCCCTTGCTCTTCAACTTATCATTACAAAAATGGCTTACGTGGCTTGACGACATCCGACGTTGCTATCGACGGAGTTAAATATGCAAAAGTGGCTGCCAATGATGCAAAACATATATTAAAAAATTCTGGCAAAACACATTTTTCCTTCAAAACACACTTCTTTCGAAAACGAAATTCACTCTGCATGATTGTTTTTTTACCCAAAATCCTAGGCTTGGAAAGAAAGAACGTTGAAAATTTGCTCCTCAAGATCAGGGTTTTTCTTCTTTCTTGGCTTTACCTCCGATTCCAAACTGGTGTGCACCACCTTTTGAATTCTTCCATTTTTGCATGTTTTACTGGGCTACAATTTCTTTCTTTTCTTCTTCTTCTTTTTCTCTTGGAACTTTATTGTAAGAAAAGATTGAAGAAAAAGTAATGTGAAGTGATTGGAACTCATTTTCAATTTTTTTCTTAAAAAATTGTGTTTGCATTACCGCATAATTATATTTTCACTCGAAATCCTAAACTCCGAAGAAATGGACGTCGAAAATTTGCTCCTCAAGATCGGGGCTTTTCTTCTTTCTTGGCTTCACCTCCAATCCGAAAATGGTATGATCCACCTCTGGAATTATTCCATTTTTGCATATTTTACTGGACTACAATTTCTTTTCTTCTTCTTCTCTTGGAACTTTATTGTAAGAAAAGATTGAAGAGAAAATAATGTGAAGTGATTGGAACTAATTTTCAGTATTTTCTTCAAGAAATTGTGTTCGAATTTGGGTTGGAATTAGGTTGGATGCTACAAATTGGAGTTTTTTGTTTCTTTGTGAGTAAACTGTTGATGTTAACAAAATCATTTGCCTATCATCCACGGTGTCGGTAATTGTGTCTCTAAAGAAGTGCGTTTTTGGAGGAAAAGTGTGTTTTGCCAGAATTTTTAAAAACTGTGTTTCATTGTTGGCAGCCACATGTGCACATTTAACTCCATTAATAGCCACGTTGGATGCTATCAAGCCGCACAAGCAATTTCTGAAAATATAAGTTGAAGAGTGAGGAATGAAGTGCAAGTTTTGAAAGCTCAGCAAATATTTGGGTGTAATTTGAAGTCGAATGAATAAAACAATGATAAAAGATCAGTTAGTATTCAAACAATTAACTCGAGTTTATACTTTAAGGGAATGTTTGAACTCGTTTTATTGTAAGAATGTGTTTTAAAATAGTAGGTTGATGGATAATGTGTTATTAAAAAATAAAAATAAAAATAAAAAATTGGGTTTGCAAGCAATATTGTTTTATTGAATAAGGTGGGGTTAAAAGGAAAAGAGAAAAATGGAGATCAAAGGCCTAAACATATAAAAAAATATAAGCCCTTGTTTGGAAATAGTTATTTCAAAATTCTTTTTTCTCATACTCATTTTTAATAACAAATTCTTACAATAAAATATTCTTCATGTAAATCTAAATTTTTTTCTACTTTATAATTACACATTTTCCAAAAATTTACTATTCAAAAACTCATTCTTTTCAAAAAAATTCTGTCAAACAGGGACTAAATATATGACGACCAAAATAAATAATTAATTATGAACAAAGGAATATATATATATAACAAAACATTTTTTTTTTCTCTTTCACACCTAAGTGCCTAACCAGGCCACCATTCTTATTTCCCTTCGCCATCCTCGTCGAGGAGTTTTCTAATATAAATAATTAAATAATTTTTGACATCCTAACTACCTCTATTTTTTTCCTTGGAAAATTGTAATCATTTCAAAGCGATGAGAATTTTCAAGTTGGTCTCTCAACTTCTCCAAAAGTAGAATTTGGTCAACAACTCACCCAATAATCAATGCCAAAGCTTCCAGTCAAGTTCAGACTTCGTGGTAGCTCTTAAATTTCGATTCTTTTTGCTCCAATCACCTAATTTATTTTCATTTCACCTCCAAGTCAGGATTTCACACATAAACGTATTATATACACTAAATTAAGTAAAAATCCACTGAATTAATTCATGTTATGCAAGTTCAAAAGGCTTGCATGTATATTACGTACACTTGTATATTCAATTAACAATTATAAATAATGACAAGCAAAAATTTGGAGAGTTTAGAAACATGGTTAGGGGCTATCAGTGTTTGGTAGTGCTTTTCTGTTGATTTTGAGCAATAATCCGATCGTTACCCACTGGTATATGGGACTAACGTTGACAACAATGTTTGAAAATTTACCAGTGAAATACCTAAATTGCCTATTCATCAAAAACAATGATTTAACTGTTTTGGGCAAACTGGTCATTCTATCCTAAATTGGTCCAACATTGCGGCTACCATATTTGATTTCTTGCCATAAATGTCTGTCAAACTGAAAAGCAACGATCATAATTTCTCTACAATTAAAATGAAAATTTCTACCAAATAGGCGCTTACTTTTACCTTACCTTCACATGAGTATTCATAGACAAGTCCCCCACCTTAAATTAGGTCAAGATGTTGGTACCCTTATTCTCATGTGTCATCCTTCTTCTAGAGAGAGAGTTATTACTATTTTATCAAGTTATATCATACTTGAATTGAACTGTCTTGTAGAAGATTATCCTTTTAGTTATTCTTTGATCACAAATGATTTTTTGCGAATTTGAGTTGAAAATAAGAATTATCATACTTGAACAAAATTTTCTTGTAGAATATTATCATTTTAGTTATTCTTTGATTAGAAAGGATATTTTTGCTAATTTGAGCGAAAAATAAGAATTGATTTATCAAAATCATCGTGCATCGTCGGCTAATCCGCCCACCGAAAACTATCATATTTCATCCTCCTCACTCAAGGTACAGTGGATGGTCGAGGCCTGCTTTTATTACTCGTGCGAAGACCATATGATATGACATCAAGTTTGTGAGTCATACTAGCTCGCTAAGTTTAAGTAAAGTGCATGGGAAGCATGTGAAGCTTTCTCCTAATATAATAGGATGTTATAAGTTCACAAAGCCTTCATTTTATTAAATAACATTTGTGTTGCATGATCTCCATGCAGATTTATGATGTAACATTAACAATTATGTATCAAGTAATTTGTATTTGGTCAAGTTTCGTCATTTAATTATATATCCTTACATTTTCAAGTATGGCTCATTTGGTATAACTTTTGAAAAGTTAAAATGAGCTTGAGATCTAAAAATTATTTTTGAACTCGTTTGACTAATTTTATGAAAGCATTTCCTCTAATTAGAAGAGCTATTAAAAGAAATTGATTTAATATGACCTTCTCTAAAATCACTTTCAATTTAGAAAATCCTTTTAAAAAATAGTTTTAAAAAAAATTAAAATAATTTTCTTAAATTTTTTTTTATAGAAAGCAAAAAACAAATATAAGAGCTACGCCAAATGGATCTTCTGATCTTCATGGTATTTTTTTGTCAAAGCACTCGTCACTCTAATGTAGAAAGAACTTTGCTATTTACACACTGATTTCTGACACTTTGATTGACATTTGTATTGTTGTCAAGTGTTAATTAGATGAAAAAACTGTTTGACATTCAAATTATTCAATAGAATAAAGCCACGTGACAAAGTGTAAACCAAAGTGTACATCATAATGTACATATAGCCATGTTCAAGCGTACATCATAATGTACATATAGCCAATTTCATCACTTAACCCGTCACGCCCTTCTATGAAAGCCATGTGTCAGTCCCTTGTATGTCCATGATAACGACGTTTCCCCGTACGTTAGATTTAGATAGAGCACTCTATAACTTGCCACGCGTCTCCACATTTTTAGGCTCCGAATTTGGTTTGATTCTGCCGAAGCCCTTGATCTTTCACCTTTTGATTTTACCCGCTTCAATCGCCCACGTCAACATCCTGTGGGGTCTAAAAATGCTCATTCATCCGCGAAATATTGGATCTTAAAACCTACCATAACCTAAAAAATCCCCTTTTTTCCCAAAATTTCTTATCTTAATCTTTAATTAAACCGTAATCTCATTTTTTTTCCTTTTTTTCCCTTGATCTTGGCATATTTTTATGCTGTATTGAATTCTTGTGAGTGGATTCACTGTAAATCGATGATGTTTGAAGGTAATTTTGTAGAACACCCCTTCTTTAATTTCTGTAGAAACAGCATTGTTTTCTTTTATTTTATGTTTTAGTTTTACATTTTCTGATTGTTGCTGGCGTGGGAATTTCTTTGTTGTTGTGGACGGTAGATGAAATAATTAATATCTTATGGGAATGCTTAATTTTCGTGATAAGTTTACACAGGCATAGTCTTCATTCTGAAAAGATTTAATAATTTTAAGGTGGTGATTATTGGGTTTGAAGTATAAATGTACTAGCTTATACTCTCCACTTAGTCCTCTATCCTTAGATGGGGTGTGAGGAATTGATAGGTCATTGTCATTAAGAATCTCCGTGTCCAGACTTGCTGATTTGATCTGATATTTTTAGGCTTAGTTTTGCTTCTACCTCTTGTGTTAATGCTGATTATTTAATAGTTCTATCTCTGG